CTGGGGGACGGAGGGGCGCTGGCGGGGCTGCGGGGCCTGCGCAAGCTCAGCCTCAGTCACAACGAGCTGGGCGCCGAGGGCCCGGGCCTGCCCCCCCGCCTCGCCGAGCTGGGCCGCCTCGAGGAGCTCGACCTCAGCTTCAACCGCCTGCGCCGCCTGCCCGAGGGCCTAGGCCGCCTGCGGCACCTCCGTGCCCTCGACGTCGACCACAACCTGCTGCCCTCCTTCCCCGCCCCGCTGCTGGAGCTGGTCGCCCTGGAGGAGCTCGACTGCTCTGGCAACCGCCACCTCGGGGCCCTGCCCGAGGGCATCGCCGCCCTCCGCCGCCTCAAGATCCTCTGGCTGAGCGGCACCGGCCTGGCGGCCCTGCCTGAGAGCCTCTGCCAGCTGAGCGCCCTCGAGAGCCTCATGCTGGACGGCAACCGGCTGCGGGCCCTTCCCGCTGGCTTTGGCAGCCTGCAGCGGCTCAAGATGCTGAACCTGTCCTCCAATCTGCTGGGGGAGTTCCCCGCTGCCATCTTGGCACTGCCCAGTCTGGAGGAGCTCTACCTGAGCCGCAACCAGCTCACCCTGCTGCCCCCTCGTCTCTGTCAGCTCCGCCAGCTCCGCACCCTCTGGCTGGACAACAACCGCATCCGCTACCTGCCTGACTCCATCGTGCTCCTCCACAGCCTGGAGGAGCTGGTCCTGCAAGGCAACCAGATTGCCATCCTGCCCGAGGGCTTTGGGCAGCTCTCCCGCGTCACCCTGTGGAAGATCAAAGACAACCCTCTCATCCAGCCCCCCTACGAGGTGTGCATGAAAGGCATCCCCTACATCGCAGCCTACCAGCAGGAGCTGGCCCACTCCCAGCCTGCCCTCAAACCCCGCCTCAAGCTGGTCCTCATGGGCCTAAAGGATGCAGGAAAGACCCTGCTGAGACGATGCCTCATGGAGGAGGATGGGCAGAGGGAGGATATGGGAAGTCTGGAGGCAGGGAGCACCCAGCCCAGAGGGTTCCCTGGGCAGCAGCAGGACATTGGGAGAGTGCCAGTTGGGTGTTGCCCTTTCCCGGAGCCTCAGGATGCTTCCTCAGCGCGGGTGCCTGCCACGCAGCAGCTGGAACATCTCCCCATTGAGCGGCAGGACATCCCTTCTCACGTGCCCTCTCACCGAGTGAAAGGGGAAACACTGTGCCCAGCACCGTCGCTGCCACTGGATGCCTCCCAAGTACCATCAGGACTGGGACTGTCAGGAGGCAGCAAGGGCATTGAGGTGATGGACTGGACAGCAGATGCAGAGAGGGGCCTGACATTCATTGTGTACGAGCTGGCGGGGGACCCAAGCTATGATGTGATCCAGTCTTTCTTCCTCTCTCCTGGAGCCCTGTATGTGCTGGTGGTGAATTTGAGTGCCTACGTCCCTCAGCACTTCTACGCCTCTGTGGGCTATTTCTTGCACTGGCTTGGTTCCAAGGTGCCCCATGCTGTGGTGTGCATGGTGGGAACCCATGCTGACCTCTGTGCGGAGCGGGAGTTGGAGGAGAAGTGCCTGGACATCCATCACCAGATCGCTCAGCAGGAGAAGAGGGATGCTGAGGGTCTCCAGAGCTTGGTCCAGCAGGTGGATGAGGCTCTGGGACAGGACTTTGACCTGCGCTGCTCCAGCCCGCACGCTGCCTTTTATGGGGTCTCGGACAAGAACTTGCGGCGAAAGAAAGCCCAGTTTCAGTACCTTCTCAACCACCGCCCACAGATCCTCTCTCCAGTGCTGCCTTTCAGCTGCCAGGACCGTTGCCAGGTGCGTCGCCTGCGGGACAAGCTCCTCTCAGTGGCTGAGCACCGGGATATCTTCCCGAACCTGCACCGGGTGTTGCCCAAATCCTGGCAAGTGCTGGAGGAGCTGCACTTTCAGCCACAAGCTCAGCAGCTGTGGCTTAGCTGGTGGGACTCTGCCCGGTTGGGCTTGCAGGCAGGCCTGACAGAGGATCGGCTCCAGAGCGCCCTGTCCTACCTGCATGAGAGTGGGAAGCTGCTCTACTTTGAGGAGCACCTCACCTTGCGGGAGTATGTGTTCCACAACCTGCCGCGGCTCATTGACATCCTCAACGTCTTCTGCCAGCGGGACGCCACCGTGCTGCTCCAGAAGCTGCTCAGCGACACCCACATTGACGAACTGAGGGCCACTCAGCTCCATCATTACGTGGAGGGCTTCTTGCTGCATGGCCTCCTCCCTGCCCACGTTATCCGTCTCCTTCTTAAGCCCCACATCCAGAGCCGGGAGGATCTGCAGCTCATCCTGGAGCTGCTGGAAAAGATGGGGCTCTGTTACTGTGTCAACAAACCCAAATGCAAGCCCCTAAATGGGGCGGCCGCTTGGTACAAGTTTCCCTGCTACGTGAAAAATGAGGTGCCCCATGCGGAGGCGTGGATCAACGGCGCCAATCTGAGCGGACAGTCCTTCGTGGTCGAGCAGCTGCAGATTGAATATAGCTTTCCATTCATTTTCCCACCCGGCTTGTTTGCACGCTACAGTGTCCAGATTAACAGCCATGTGGTTCAGCGGTCAGATGGCAAATACCAGATCTATGCCTACCGGGGAAAGGTGCCCGTGGTGGTGAGTTACCGGCCTGCCAGGGGAGCTCTGCAGCCAGATACTCTGTCTATCGCTAGTCATGCATCCCTACCAAATATCTGGACAGCTTGGCAAGCTATCACCCCTTTAGTGGAAGAACTGAATGTCCTGCTCCAGGAATGGCCGGGCCTGTACTACACTGTGCACGTCCTCTGTTCAAAGTGCCTTAAAAGAGGGTCACCCAACCCACACACTTTTCCAGGTAAGGCACAGCCCAGCTTGCCTTTCATGTCTTCTGGGGCTTTTCCCCTTCTAGAAGGGAGTCTTACGGTGTTAGGCTTAGCTCTGTCTCTTTTTTTCTTTTTTCTTTTTTTTTTTTTTCTCTTCTGTTCTAACTCCCTTCCCTGGTGACTTGAGTCATGAGAGAAAATATTAGGGTAGCTCCAGGGAGACAGGCTTAAAATAACCCTATTCTGAGACGAGGGGGGTGTTACATCCCCCTTTGTCTGTGCCTTTTCTCTCTGCTTTTTGGGTTTTGGCCCCAAGCATTGGCGGTGCCATTGTTGAAAAGGCCCTGACCTGTCCTTCTCCTTGCTTTGATTCCTTTGAATGGCACTGCATTTTTTTCCTAATTCCCTTTATCCTGCAGCTCCCCCTTCCTTGGGGCTATTTGTAAACATGGATAGAGATGCCTAAAAGACCGCAGGTGTCTCCTGTCCCCCGCCTTCAACCCTCCACCCCCAAAACCTGGCCTGTGCTGCAGCCTCTCTGAATGCAGGAAAGCTCCTGCTGGTAGACAATGGGTGTGTCGGTCTCCATAGCCCTGTATAAAAAGCGCTTTCTCGTATCTGAGCCCTGTCTCTAGCAGGAAGCATTCCTCCCTGAAGAGAGAGGGATACTCCATCTTCTTTGTTTTAAGTGTCTCACCTAGAAGTGATTCCCGGTCTGCGCCTTTTGGAGCTATTCTTGAGAGCATTTATTTTCCTTCCTCTCTCCTTCATCTAACGAAAAAAGCACAATCTCTCTCCTCTGGAATTTGACTAGTCATGCTGCTTTTTAAAGCTGTTGCTTCTAAAGTCGTGATTTTATCGGTGGTGTTTTCCAGCAGCATCTGTTTTACTTTGTATGTATGCAGGTACTGCCTCCTAACCTGTGTCCTCCCTCCTCCGCTTGGGTTTTCTCTGGGGCTTGCGGGGGCCATGGGAAAGGTGCTTTGGTGCGTAAATCTGCGTGAAATCAAAACACACTCTGGACTGTAAGCAGCACTCTAGAAACGTGCATTTTTTACACACACACACATACACCCATGTTGGGAGTACGTTGGAACATTCTTTATTTACAGGTAGCCTGAAATTGTGGGGGAACTGGAGTATGATTTGGGTTAAAGCAAGCAGTGGTGCTGAATTGGTTTGTAGGCAAATGTGAATAATAAGGTGTGTTTCAGGGGTTTGTTTGGAGGTGGGTTTTTTTTTTCTTTTCTTTTTTTTCTCTGGACCTTGAGAATAAGGAGATGCTGTTTGCTCCTCAGCCCACGTCCTGGCTCCCTCCGTCGATCGTATCTCCCTCTAACTGTGCTAGCTTATGTAAGAGCCGTTGGACTGGGGGGGGGTGAACCCGTGCTGTGTCAGTTGCCAAGTGGAATCCGCATGCTGGGTCTTGCTGCTGACGTGGTGCTTGGGGCAATGTGATCTGCTTTCCAAAAAAAACCCCCGAAAAGTAAAAAAACCCACAAAACCCCTAAAAAAACCCCAACAAAACCAAAACAACCAAACAAAAAAAAAACCCACCAAAATTAGCCAAGACAGCAAACTGTATGTGCAGGTGTGATGGGTGACTATTGAAGGTTTAGCTTGTGAATAATTCAGGTCTGCAGTCACATATCTTCTTTTTTTTTGTTTGTTTTGTTTTGTTTTCTTTTGTGTGTGAAAGTTTTGTGGCTGACCCTCTTTTTCTTGCCGGTGAGTAGATGATGCTTTAAAAATGAAATGTGAAGAGGAGCTGGACTGTCTGCATGAGATTGGCATCTTTGCTGACCAGTGACAGTCAGAGCAGGTCCGGAAGCATAAGGGGGGCATTGAAATTGAAGGGCCTTTTCCTTTGGATTTGGCTTAGAGGTGGGAAAGGATTGCTCTCACCTGGGAGCCAGGCTGGGTGTACTGGGAAGGGGAGGCGCAGGTAAGCAGTGCATCGTTGGGCAGGGGAGGAGCGGGGGCTCGTGTGCCAGGCCTCCGAAAGCTACCTGGGGTGATGCTGCCTGTGGAAAGGGGGTTGCAGCTTTTCCGACACCAGGGGAGAAGCCAGGCCTTGCTGCCAGGGGCACAGGGCTTAGCATCCCAAGTGGCCCTGCCTTGGGGCAGGGGGTGACTGTCTTAACACAAATACGATGCGAGTCTAGCTGGGGGAAGGGCATGTTGAGAAGACAAACGTGGTTCAAAGGCAGGGCTGATCTGTGGAAGTGCTGAAGAGTAAAGGCTGCAATTTATCAAGAAACCTGGTTATCTTCTTGGATGATGCTTAAATCTAGCCCAGCTATGACCTGGATTGTATGAAAAATGTGAACCGTGATTTGGCTTGGGGAGGCCTGTGTGTCTGCATTTAATCTAAAATATTCTTTGCTGTGTATCTGCTTTATGAATAAAAGACTGTTTAGGAGCCCCTAAATGGCAGTTGTGAAGCTGAAGACTCTTTTTTCCTCCTGATTTTGTTGATCAGGAGCTGTGTGTGTTTAAAGTCATGTTGCCAAGCTTGCCCTCATGCAAGTGAATTGTGGTTGGTGTCATTTTTGACAGGGTGTAGGAAAGAGATGGGTCTAATGTTACGAAAATATGTAGCGAGGGAGATGTCTATGTTTCTTTCCAAGCTCTTCCAGCAGAAATCCCTGGCAATTACAATGCTGCTCATTCTTAAATAGGGCTGTGGTCTTTTTAGGACTGCACTGAAGAACTGCTTTGCAGCCTGTTGACCTTAATAAGGGAAATATTTCTGTGGAGACACTGCCAAATTTGTGCTCAAAAATGGAAGTGCAGTCTGGCTGTGTGTCTGGTTGCGCAATCTGTGTCGTCATTCACGAAACCGATGGTGCATTCTTTGGTCATCCAAAATTTTCATTGGAAACCCCTTCAAAGAGAGGACTTGGTTGTTCACGAGATGAGAATTAATCCTTGCTTTTCCTCTCCTTCCCTTCCCTCTTAGTCCTGCATGCACACACTCTATAACTTCCATTGATAATACACACAGAAATTCTCTAAGAACAAGCTAGTGTGCATAGAAATGGTTAATAAGAATTGAGATTCTGGATTTAGTCTTCTGAGGGTTTATTGCAAACAAACAGTGAATAAAAGTGATATAAAAGTGCCTTGATAGGGTCCTTTTAAGGAAGTTTTTGTGTTTGAAACAGTTTTGTAGCTGGGTGAAATAGTAACTGAACTGGCATCTGAGCTGGAATCTCAGTGTGCTTTGAGGCTGCAGTCATCTCCTCGGCTGAGAAGTGGTGTGTTGAATTTTTATTCTTTTTCTTTTACATTTGCACTATATGTAAATAAAAGTATCCCTGCCGGGCTAAGAAAAGCATATCCCTGCTTGGAGTGACCAACAAGAATGGTTCACCACTCCAAGACGATGAGACCTCAATTGGGTTGTCGCAGGCATTGTGAAATGCTGTGATTTTTGTATGTGATGTTCTTTTAGCCCCTGGACTGAAGGACTTTTAGGTTGTTCATGTCCCATAAGCTATTAAGTGACTTGGGATTGGAGGGGTGGAGGTGGTTTGCCATCTGTCTGACAGTAGACACGTGCTTTGTTTGGATAAACGTGGCTGGATTTTCCAAGCTTGCCTTCATGTGCACCTGCTAACTGCTCTGCTGCTGTCTCCTCTTGCCCTGCACTAGGCTGGGTCTGGGCCACCCCAGGCTCTTCCAGGCTGTGGTCTGCACGAGGTGTCCTGATATCCGATGTGTGATCCTTTTGGTGTTTGGGGTGGAGGGGATTGTGTTTGACCAGTGGTTTTCCTTTATTCCTGCATGTGAAGCTACCTGTATGAACGCAGGCACAAGGGGGGCCAGGGGCTTCGTCTGTTGCGGAAAATGGGCAAGATACTGTCACCAGCAAGACAAGATGATTTGGGTTTCCACGGATTAAAAATGTGACAACAGACAGAAAACCACGGGCAAAGATACTGTGTATGAGCCTAGCAGCCCCTCTCCAAAAGGACGCTGCAGCGCTATTGGGGAGCTTTGAGAGATGCTGGAGGACTGGCAAGAGCTCTCCTGTGGAAAGGAAGTGCGCATCTCCCACCTACCTTGCTGCCCCCTTCCTAAGGTATCAGAACAGGGAGGAGATCACGAGCCTCTACTCTCTCTGCCCATCTTCCACATCGAAGGTGAGCAGAAGCAAGGATTATATGCCAGTCACCTTCAGGGGTACAGGTGGAGGTATTGTAGCATAGTTCCCCTGTGAGACTCTGTCATGGCCAGAGCAGGGCTAATTCTAGGCCACCTTATTCATGTGATTCGAAGTGAACCATGCTCGCTGTCCCTGCGTTGGAGTCAAAAGCGAGCATGAACTCCCTTGGTGGCTGGGATGGAGTCAGGAGATGGAGAGGTGGAAGATCCCATGATGTGTCATGCTGTCAAGTCCCATGCAAGGTGAGGAGGGAGCAGGTGGGACTGGTTTTGTCAGAAGGGCTCAGAAGTTGCTCCAAAATCTGAGCTGTCTCTCAGTGAAAGGCTGATGTCAGGTATCTAATTGTTCTTTGTAATTAAATTGTAATTGTAAATTGTTTTTTTTACAGACAATTGCAGTAGAGCAACACCTGCTTGTAGCAGAGCCTGATGCTAGCATTTGGCAGCCTTTTATTTTCCCCAGTTGAGGGTGGAGTCTTTTTTGCCTGACTTTCAAAGTAGATGCTGCAGCTCTTGGGGTTGTTGTCACGCTCTCCTGAACGTTATGGTTTCAGTGGAGTACTGTGGCATAATCAGAGATGGTGGGGCAAGACTTCAGCACAGCGTGAGCACTGGACACGGATGATCTGGGTGGCAGGATAAAGCTGAACGAGGCCCTGTGATTCAGGAGGAGAAGAGAACAGATCAGTTGCTGGACTTGGGGAAGCTAGTGTGATTCTGTAGCTCTAGTGCTGATTATTTAGCTTACCATCAAGAGCTATGCTGCTGAACTGACATCCTTGAGTGGTGTGACTTGCTGTATGTAATGGTGGAGAAACATAGTCTACTTACCACCAGGGATTTTTAGAGATTTTCCTTCGTG